ATGCTGGACGAAATGGAATTGGCGGCAAGATATGCTGAACCCGAAGTACTTTCAGATGAACAAAATCATGTCCATACCGGTCCGTTAAGTCCCGGTCAAGTCCGGATTTCGCCCATCTATCTTCGAAGTCTACGACGGGAATAATTAAAGTAAACCCGAGAAATATTTCGAAAACGATTATAATTCTTTTGTAAAAAAATCCTGTTTTATATTTTTTATATTGCCATTAGGCAATACTTTGTGAATTCTAAAGGTTGAAATAAAATGTAACGTGCCAATTCGGCATAAATCAAAATGTACATGATAAATAATCTTGGTTTCCTTAAATATATTGGAGTCATTTTGTATCACTCGAATTCCTTTCTTTCTTACACGTTTGCAACATGATGACATTATTTTCTCGCGATATGTATGCCCGGATGTGAACCTGATATTAACAAGGCTTGACCTTGAGTGAACCTATCTTGTGAAATATATTTTAGTTTATTTTCATTGATCATTAAAAATATTATATACGTCTGCTATAAACGATATTATTCGATGTGCTTTGAAAAGCTTTAACCTCGATATCATACAAAAATTATAACTGTTTTTAAATGCAAGAACCGTTCTGATTAAAAGCATCGAAAAATGTTCTTTCAGCAGAACACAACGTTATCAATATCTCACCTAGAAATGCGAAAAGTGAATTAATGAACAAAGCGCTTTCTAAAAGACTAATTATATATGGTGATAAAATTCAACGCCTATTAGTGACTTTATGGTTTACTGTGCTACTGTTAGGCACACATTTCAAATAATAGCCAGGATTTGACCAATAACATGTTATATTATTAGGGTTGAGAGAGTTCACATCTAACAGGTAGATAGCAACATGGGGTTAGAATCATATTCTTGAAATTTGAAAGTGATCTTAACACGAAACTCACCGCATTCCACAAAATCTCTGGGTTTGGAAAACAACGAGACCTTGGGTGGCTTAACTATCACCTTTTTATTGACGGCACCTAGGTGAACTAGTTCATCTAGTACATCCTCGATCTCGCAACGTGACATGACAAGGGAAAGTCGGCGGTGAATGTTGGACTATTATTTTTGGAAGAAGAAAATTGTAAATAAAAACACATTACACAATATATCAAAGTTACTTTCAATATACCTGATAGATTCCGGGTTTCTGAACAATGGTTCCAAGCACGACTTCAAGGCACCCACGAAA